GTTCAATCTCCGGCCACTGGACGCACTCCTTTACCTCGCTAAGCCAGAAATAATACTGGTGAAGAGGAAAGGTTGGGCATGAGGCTAGCAACTCCATCCCGTAAAATAAACACTGCTACAGAAACTTCAAGCCTCCAGCTTGAAGCCCTATGTTCCACTGGGGAACGGGAAGGAAAAAAAATTAAATTACTTCATCTCATTTTGTCCCATGTTCTCATTGACCATGCATATTAAAAAAACTATCTGACTATTGTTCCATCCCATCTGACTCATACTTGTTCCACAATACACTTTCTGATATGATTCTAATTTGCCTTTACTGACCCGGCTGGCTATTGTATGCTTAAATTCATCAATGGATTTATAATTGTAGAGGCTGAAGAAGGAAGAATTCATTGTAAGCGACAATTGTTCGCTCTAAATATTTTGTTCTATGTACTAATTCATAAAACACAGATGAAATTCCAACTAGATTACTACACTTGTGTGATACAGTTATTCCTTTTTTTGTACTTCTTTGACCTACATGCTCTCTACCACATACAGACACTCACACACACACACACGCACAAATACGCATACACAAAGAAGTACAAGGCAGAAAAAGTGGTAATCACACATTTAATCGAACATTATTAAGTACTTGATTAATTCAGCTCAAGTACATCTGTAAAAAAAATCTAATATGTACTGTGAGATATTGATCTCTGAAAGAACTAAATATTAATATATTATTATTATTAGTAGTAGTAGTACTAGTAGCAGTATTAGTATTATTATTATTATTATTACTATTATTATTATTATTATTATTACCGATTCAATAAAATTTGATAGTGTGGAAAATTCCCATATTATGAATTAAAAGTCAATCTGAACGAAGAATATTCTTTTCAATAATTTCTCCTCTTCAGGTTCTCACACAATTATAAAATATAATAAATATTTGTTGTCGTTACAATAAAGGCCAGTTATGCGGCAGATACATTTTTTCAACGTAGAATAACAGATTAGTAATTATGGGGTGTCAAAATAAATAGTCGTTTTTGTGTGACAAACGTCATAATTTATGCCCTTCATGCAAACATTCTCTCAATACTATCGAATTTTTTCGTTTATACTATCCGGACTTATTATTAGTGATATTATCTCTTTTCTCAATATATGCCTCCACCTGTTTCATTTCACATATTCGTTATCTCATTATGAACCTCCCATTGCAGTCTTACTATCTCCTGTTTAACACAGACCACTTTGTACTAGCCATTCACCTGACACCTTTTTATAACCTTGATCTGACTTGTCAGTTTTCCTACCCCACACTCTACAAATCTATTATGATTAATCACCACTGTCTCCCGTTTTACAATATTTTGTAGTCGAATTCAGCCTAACACGTTTGTCATACAAATACGACTATTTATTTTGACACCCCATAACTAATCTGTTATTCTACGTTAAAAATGTATCTGCCGCATAACTGGCCTTTATTGTAACGAAAACAAATATTATATTTTATGATTGTAAGAACCTGAAGAGAAATTATTGGAAAGAATATTCTTCGTTCAGATTGACTTTTAATTCAATAAAACACACACACAGTAGACAAAATCTCATATTTTGTGCGAGGACTGGGACACACTACCAACCCGCACGCCCAAACCGAAACAGATAGTTGTCTTAATGAGCCACCACCTTCCCCTGACTTGATGTCTGATCCACAAGGCATTGGACCAGTGTGTTCATCATGTGGTTGACGGTGACCGAAACAGGCTTATAAAGTCATTCTGGAGCTAATTTAGCACACTATAAGGTTTGGAAACAGGGTTTTCTATTCCAGCTTCCCTCCTCCACAGTAATTGTAAGCGCTAGAAGTTCTCAGTTAAGATTTCACTTTTGTGGTGAGGATCACCACCACCCCAAGCCCACCACCATCGCCGATGTGGCGTAAAGGTAGTGAGTGAATAAGACTTGCCTAGCAGCAGGGAGAGGCTATGAAGGAGTGGTCATATGTGAGACTATTTGGAGAAAAAGACCAAAATGTACTCACTCCCGGCGCGGTAGCAAGTTTTTGATGATGATGATGATGGTGATGACATAGAAAAAACTGATTTATTCATTCGCTAAAATTATCTTGGCGCTTCTAAGTACTACAATTGTATTTATATATCGGATACTGATTTAAAACATTTTTACTTTTTTATAATTCTTTTACGTTCCCAGTGGAACATAGAGTGCCCTCAAGCTACAGGTTTGATGTTTCTGTAGTAGTGTTTTATTTTTACGGGATGCGGTTGCCAGCCTCATGCCACTCAACCTTCCCTCTCTACCGACTTTATTACCGACTTAGCGAGGTTTGGGAGTGCGTCGGTGGCCGGGGATTGACCCCGGACAACATGAGGCGAGCACTTTTACTGCTTTACGCCCGACGCAAAACATTTTTATGATAAAGCTTAAGTTATTCTGTATTCTTTTTATATTGAACTGAAATGCTCAATACCTCTGATCACAGGTATACATCAGTGACATGCGATTCGTCCTGTTTGAGCCTCATCTTCTGTAGATGCTTCATTCATTCGCAAACATATGTGTGTTCACACATTGGTTGTATGCGACATGTCTGTCTGTTTTCGACATAAAACTTTGTACCGATGTGCAGCAGTTCAAGTCGACACACTCCCTCCTTGTAGCACACAAACCAATAGAAGAAAGTAGGAGAAATGCATATTAGAGACAGTAAACAGAGGTGTGAGACAAAGGAATAGTAATAACGAAGAACAAAACAGTTTCATTGGAAATCATAAGTCACAAGGAGTGGATGCATCTGCGCCAACCACTCAGAACGACTTTGAGCCATGTCACCAGTTGTTCCCAACCATTGGTTTTTACCATCCCGAGGACCCCAACCAGTCAGGAAGTCTACACCTTCCTACGTGAATGAGACTAACTGTTGTAGATTTCATTGACTGGTGCCATGTTTTCGTTTGACCACCGCTAGCTCTTTTCCAGCCTGACCCTATATCAGCTGACATTGCACGTCGAGGAAGATGCGCATGTTGAAAATTTAATAATGTGTGAGATTTTCCGAATAACTAAGTGATCAACTCACCATAAATGTAATTACCACCCCACCCCACCCCAATATTAACTTACAACAGCAGTTGTTAAACCTCAGGTTATGAAGCTTGATCAATGATAGATAATGTCTACGACGTACGTTACACAAGCCTAACCATCGCCGCATATCACGGACGAGAAATGTTAGCTGATATGGGATTAGGTTGGTAAGGAGTTGGGGGTAGTCAAACCAAAACTTAGCATGAATTCATAAAGTCGTCGACTGTTGAACTGAGCCCCACAGAGAGAGAGACAGACAGAGAAGTGTAGATGGTCTCTTTGAGGCCCTCAGGAAGCTAAGAATCAATATTATTATTATTGTTTTCTTTAATTCCTAGAGGAACATAAGGCTTCAGCCACATGTCTCCATTGCGTTCGCTTCTCTGCTAGAGTCTTCACCTGGCTCCAAGTCTGACCACACGTTTTCATCTCCTCTTCATATGACCTCCTCCAGGTCCCACTTGGATGACCGACTCGCCGCTTCCATTCGAGCAATGGCTTGTCTAGTGATGTCACTTGATGGCTTGTTTCCTCAGAGTATGGCCAGCCAATTCATCTCCATTTCTTCCTGCCTATTTGTTTCACAATCGGTTCCTGCTGTGTTGGTTCGCTCGTTGCCAGAGATCTCTGTTGCTGATCTTTTCTAACCGGCCATCTGATCTTGAATATTGAGCGAAGACAACTGTTAATGAAGGTCTGTAGTTTGTTTGAGATGCTCTTTATGACGCGCAGTGCAAGTCTCTGATCCGTATAGTAGCACTGATTTCACATTGGAGTTGAAAATCCGGATCTTATTTTTGATGCTGAGAATCAATAGCTTGATATTTATCATGATATGGCTCAAAATCGTCCTCAATCAATCCATCAGATGCAGTCATGCTTTGTATTCTCCTCCTAGAGCCAATGAACCTTCAGCTTTCTCCATGCTACTATTCTTTCTCTCAGACATTTCTCGTCAGTATAGCTCTCTTACAGTTTGTTTTTTGACGACTCTTTATGCGCTACAGGTAGTGTGACACTTCAGAATGCTGCACTTCTCTATGCAACGATAGACATTGAGACTCAACACTAGTCAGTCTTATTATATCTAAACTAACAAATAACCAACAACAACAGCAGCAACATCCACCGCCAATCACCATCAACTGGAGGGATTTGAAAGAGGTTACTTCATTCACTTATCATCTAGGGAGCATTGTCTCATTTACAGGAGGAACAAACGAGAATGTCAAATCGAAAATCGGGAAGGCGAAAAACACTTTCATCAACCTGAAACCAATCTGGAAATCTCCGTCCCTCAGCCTTCATCAACAACAAAGTGATTCGGATTTTCAATACAAACGTCAAGTCAGTCAGTTCTTCCATACGGATCAGAAACTTGGCGGCGGGTGATAAAGAATATTTCCAACAGCCTGTTACAGACCTTTATCAACAACTGTCTTCGTTCTATACTCAAGATCAGATGGCCGGAAAGAATCGCCAAGAAACTATGAGAAAACAAACAAAACAAGAACCAATCACCCAACAAATATGCAAGAGAAAGTGGAGATGGACCGGACACTCGCTGAGGAGGCCGCTGGGTGACATCGCACGTCAGGCCATAGCTCGAGTGGAATCCGAAAGGGAAGTGTCGAGTGGGACGTCAGTGCAAGGGTGATATGGAGGAGATCGTGTGAAGAGGAGTTGAAACAGTATGAACTAACATGGATGCAGGTGAAAAGTACAGCAGAAGACAGAAGCAAGTGGAGACGTGTAGTTGAAGCTCTATGTTCCACTAGAAACCCAACGGAACAATAATAATATAATAATGACAAATAACCAAGCACTCATATAAAATAAATGCATATACACATGACAGAAGCTGTCTTCATTCAATAACTTACCCATATCTTCTCTGCTTTCAAACTTTGTTGTCATTGGGACTTGATCATTCCCTTTGGATACAATCTATAAAAGTAATAATACACTGCATAGTTTAATTGTTCAACCAATAACCACAAAAATGTTAAGACAAATAAATGACAAGTGTGAGTTGAGTAGAAGGCAGAAGCCATCGGTATTCGTTATCAGCTGTTGTGATCTCTCAGGAAATTTGATAAATTCATTATATACTGTCTTGTCATCAAAACATCGTAGTGTTAGGTGTCTAGTACTAAGTGTTTATTATAATTAATAATACTATTTGTAGATTCTTTATTATTGTTCCTTTGGGTTCCCAGTAGAACACAAGGCTTCAACAACACATCTCCAACTTGTTTTACTTTTTGCTGTGCTCTTCATCTAGGTCTACGACTGCCCATAATCTCTCATCTCCTCCTCCTCCTCTCCAACACACGATGTTCTCCATGTCACTTTCGCGCCGACGACCCACTCGTTGCTTCCCATTAGGGTTCTACTCTAACAATGGCCTGCATTCAGCACAATGTCATTAGACGACCTCCTCAACGTATGCCCTATCCATCTCCATTTTCTCCTACATATTTGTTGAGCAATCGGCTACCGCCTGTTGGTTTGTTCCTAGTCAGAGTTTCTTGTTGCTAATTCTTTCTGACTGGCCGGCCGCCTGGCCACTTTATTTTTAGTATGGAGTAAGCTAAGTGGGCAGCTGTTGATAAAAGTATTTGATTGAGAAGAACAAGAAGTTCAGCAAAGATGTCGATCTTTTCGGCGATTTCATTCTCAAAAGCTGTACAATCGCATTTATATAGATAAGTTTACATGGATACAATTCTTATTCGTTTAATTCCACACAGTAACGAAGGTGATAATAATTTTCAACTTGATGTGAAATTTTGAAGGTACGAATATAGATTACAAGAGGCTTAGAGACAAGATTGTATAGGATTAGATAATAGTTACAACGTATGCAAAATTATTATTTGATAACTGGAGAAATAATTTCAAAGGCGAATAGAAGGTGACAATTGTTTTCAACTTGATATGAATTACAAGAGGCTTAGAACGAATTACAGGTGTGAACAAAGTGAGCATGGAAACAAATTGAGATCAAAATTTTCAACTTGAAATGTAAATTAGGAGGCGTGAATATAGATTACAAGAGGCATAGAAACGAAAATTACACAGGATTAGAATATAATTGTAAAATGGTTATTCTAAACGGATTACAAGTGTGATCAGGAGGAGCATGGGAACAAACTGAAAATAAGTGATTTTTATAACTGAAAAAATAAAATGAATTGAATGAAGGTAAAGAGAGAAAATTACACACACAGATAACAAAACAAAAAAAACTGAAGGATAAGGGAACATACCGAACTAGGTCCATGGTAGTTGTAAAGCCTGGATGTGTTCAAAAGAAACTATTTCTCCTATGCAATCTTGTCTCTAAGCCTCTTGTAATCTATATTCGTACCTTCAAAATTTCACATCAAGTTGAAAATTATTATCACCTTCGTTACTATGTGGAATTAAACGAATAAGAATTGTATCCATGTAAACTTATCTATTTAAATGCGATTGTACAGCTCTTGAAAATGAAATCGACGAAAAGATTAACATCTTTGCTGAACTTCTTGTTCTCCTCAATCAAAAACTTTTATCAACAGCTGCCCACTTAGTTGACTCCATACTGAAGATAAAATGGCCGGCCGGCCAGCCAGAAAGAGGGCGTATCTTGCCTTTTCGATCCTCTCTGGCTGGCTTTGACATATTCATCCGTGCTGTCGCTTGTGGTTGAAACTGTGCTTCCTAGCCAGTTAAGTGAAAGAAGTAACCTGTGTTAAATCTCTCCATGATGATTGGTACTAGTTGTTGCCACTGACTGTTGGCTGGTTGGTTATCTTCATCACCTCCGTCTTCTATATGTTCACCTAGAGTCCTGTCTTCGCTGCCTGACAGCCTATTCTGCCAGTTTGTTTCTTTTCGCCTGCCACTAAGTCTTCGAGTTTGTGTGACATTAAACACAAATCATCCACGCCCAAAATCCAGATCTTCTAGAGTCTTCTTGTCGGTTCAGAGCATTCCTGTGATCTCGACTCCTAAAGTCTGACATATAATCCAGTCCACCACAATTAGGAATATCATTGGTGATAATAGGCAGTCTTGTTTTGGTGTTGATTTTTTATTTTATTTTTTGATTACAGCTTGATTCCACACCGTATTTTTTGGTACAGGTATGGAATTTTCAGCATGTGATATCGGTAGCCCAAATTTTGCAGGCCGACCATAGATATCGGGTGTGCGTCGGCAGGGAATCGAACCCCGGACCATATACATAGTCGGCGAGAATCCCAACCACTGTGCCACCGACGACGACTAAAATCCTGTCAAATTCTATCGATACGCAGTGTGGTTATTAATCCAAGAAACTTGTCTAATTGACAAAGAATGCCGATTAAGTCGAAATCTAGGTCAAGCAGAGCTTCTTGCCTTCCGAATAAAAAAGTCCACCACAATGGCATCTCCTCTCCTAAAATGTTGAATGCATGTCAAACTGGCCGATTAAAATTCAGTCTACGCAGACACTGAAGACGAGATTGAAAAGCGATACTTGTTACCTCCTCTTCCCCCACCCTACCCCACCCCAGTGTCCAATCAATATGATCACTACAGTCCTACAGCAGGGCGATCTATCGTGACCCCAAAATATCTCAGTTGTAATGTCTGTGACTAAAGCACTACTAAGTGAAGTAGATTTGAATCTACGAGAGAAGACATTAATACCTTGAAGATTTCAGGTACACCCTGCTGACTAGTGCCAATAAACATACAGCTTGGCACAGAACTATGCTCCTGACACTTTCCGAGCAGCATATTAAATCTCACTATCGTGCACCATGCAAAAACTGTAACCAGAACAGGTTAGATTTAGGAAAAGAAAATCGTAATGCAACACACTATTATAGAACAGAACAAATAAATGGCGATCCAATCTTTGCCTCAATCTCATCCACTTTGAAAAGGCCTTAGACAGTGTTGATCGTGAAGTAATTCGGTAACCGCTTCAATACTACGCATACTACTACTTCGAAGTGAGGACAGGAGTAAGACAAACTGGCTGCCTACTATCGCCAATGATTTTCCTGATTTCAGTAGATTGGATAATGCAACAAACAGCGGGCAATGAGGAAACAGGCATAAAATGGACTCACACAAAAAACTTGGAGGATTGTGACTTCGCCAAAAACATATATATGTCTGATTTCCCACAAACTGGAAGATATGCAAGTGAAAAGCAACAAGTTGGCAGAAGAAGCATCCGGGAAGATAGGACTTCAGGTGAACATAGAGAAAACAAAGGTGATGAAGATTCCTGGGCAACACCACCAACAGCAACAACAACAACAGACAACAATAAGCATAAATGGGAGGAACCTGAAAGAAACAACCTCTTTTACCTACCTGGGAAGCATCGTTTCAACTACAGGCGGATGGAACTGACGAGGATATCAAAGCAAGAATCGGAAAAGCAAGACAAGCTTTCACTACTCTCAAGTCTGTGTGGAGGTCAACAACACTCAGCATCAAAATGAAAATAAGATCCGGATTTTCAACTCCAATGTAAAGTCAGTGCTACTAACTTACGGATCAGAGACTTGCACTGCGCGTCATAAAGAGCATCTCAAACAAACTACAGACCTTCATTAACAGTTGTCTTCGCTCAATACACTCAAGATCAGATGGCCGGCCAGAAAAGATCAGCAACAGAGATCTCTGGCAATGAGCGAACCAACCAGGAACCGATTGTGAAACAAATAGGCAGGAAGAAATGGAGATGGATTGGCTATACTCTGAGGAAACAAACCATCAAGTGACATCACTAGACAAGCCATTGCTCGAGTGGAACCCGAAAGGGAAGCGGCGAGTTGGTCGTCAGTGCGAGGGTGATATGGAGTAGAGGAGGTCATGTGAAGAGGAGATGAAAACGTGTGGGCAGACTTGGAGCCAGGTGAAGACGTTGGCAGAGAACCGAACGCAATGGAGACGCACGGCTGAAGCCCTATGTTCCTCTAGGAATTAAAGGAAACAATAATAATAATAAATAATTCAATACTACGGAGCGCAGTGCCACATACCAAGTGATTCACAACAGAAAGCTCAGGGAAGCATCTGAAGCGATGACAGAAGTAAGCACAAGGCTGATTACTACCACCGACAGCATTTCTGATTGTGGTGGACTAGTTTGTGCAACAAACTACGGGGATGGTGAAAACAGGAATACAGTGGACCGACAAGAAGACCTTAGAAGGATCTGGACTTTGCGAATGATTTATATGGGAGAAAACACACGATTTGGTAGTGAAGACAAGGTTTCGAGTGAATATAAAGAAGCAGAGGTGATGAAGATACCCGACCGCCAGCAACATTAAGTACCAATCACCATCAACCGAAGAAATTTAAGCAGCATAGTCTCAACTATAGGCACAGCACAGATGAGTATGTCAAAGGCAAGTTCCGAAAAGCTAAGCAGACCTTCGTGAATCGGAAATCATGTGGAAATCTGTTTCAATCAGCATAAAGAACAAGATTCTGCTTTTCAACACTAATTATAAATCAGCGCTTCTGTATGATTCACAGACCTTCCAGGTGGCGAAAAGTATTCCCAACAGGCTTCACACTTTTAACAGCAAATGCCTTAGCTTCATACGGAAGATGAGATGACCTGTTGGAAAGGATTAGCAACAATAAACTCTGGGGGCAAACCAACCAACAGTCTAAGGCCCAGCAAATATGCCGTCAAGTGACATTGTGCGTCCGGTCTTCAATTAGAACCCGAATGGAAAACGACAACTTGAGTGTTCGAAGGTGACATGGAGGAGGTTGTCTGAGGGGGGTGAGAACTTATGGTCAATCGTGAAGCTACCTAAAGATAACTGCAGAAAACAGTATGAAATGGAGATGTGCTATTGAAGTCATATGTTCTACTCGGAACCCAAGGGAATAATAGTTGTTCGGTAGTACGTTATTGGCGGCTTCGCCGCCTACCAGAAATTCTTGTTGTCTCCAGTTTCCGTTCCTCTGGTTTTCAATATCAAGTGAGGGCAGCTGCTGGTAAAAGTCTACAGTAGTAGCCTGTTGGGAATGCCTTCATCGACATGTCAGCGCCAAGTCTCTGAATCGTACAGAAGTACTGACTTGATGGAAGTATTGAAATTCAGATCCTGTTCATTATGACGAGTGTAGACGATTTCCACACTGATTTCAGAGTAACGTACGCTTGCCTGTCTTGCTTTCGCGATCCCAACTGACTTTTACATCCTCATTAGTGACGCCTAAAATTGAAACTATGCTCCTTAGAGATAAGAAAGAACGACATCCTTTCGATTTCTCCCATTGATGGTGATTGGTGTTTTCTTGTTGGCGGCAGCGGTTGGATATTTTCACCACCTCTGTCTTTTCTATGTTAAAATGAAATTCTGCCAACTTATTGACTAATAAAATATCTCCTCTATATCCTAACATTTAGACGGATAAATAATGCAGGATTCGAACTAGTGACCTAAGAATTCAATACATTCTAATTTGACTATGCTAAGAATACACAACAGAAAGCATATATAAATTTATAGTACGGTATGTGCTTTGCGCCATCTAAGTGCAAATACTATTGCCAAATTGGCGGGAGCCTGTACCTGCACTCATCCTTGTAGGTAAATCTCTTCAAGTAGTCGACAAGTTCGTGTACCTAGGTAGCTTGCGGTGTAAAAGACGAAATCTCTAATCTTACAGTGAAAGCTAAGGTGGTATACACCAATTTAGGCCACCTCTGATGCTTCGGTTCGTGCAGTCTTGCTCTACACCTGTGAAACCTGGCCTCTCTGTGAACTGAGGATGTGTAGTAACTCTGCGTATTCGATCATCGCTACCTCCGTAGATTTGCTTGCGTTCGATAGCATCACTAGTCACTGAGTGTAGTCATCTTGGAACACAGGCTTTGATGGCTTCTACATATGCTACGAATGTAATCTAAGAGGCCCACGTACCGGTCTCCGTTTGCCAGCCATGGGACTGGACGGAAAAAAAGATGAGAGATGATCAGCCCATGACAAGGGGTTCCGTGTGATAAAGGATATTTGTGTTAGGTTAGCATCACTTAGTATATATATCACGACTCCCTTGGTTGAGGTCCGACAGACAGTTCCAATCGGTAAGTTGAAACATCATCAGATGTGGTTGAGAATTACAATGAACGACTAGAAATAGGAAGTGAAGTGGTAGAGCACGTTGACCGCTTCACTTACTTGGGAAGTACCATCAGCCAATGCCAACGGGTTGATCGCTGACAAAATCTCAGCACGAATACAGAGGGCTAGGTTCGCATATGCCAGTTTACGCCGTTTCTGGCGTAGACGTGATATCCGACTATCGACCAAAGGGCGTGTGTACTGCTCAACAGTCCGCTCCGTCCGCCTTCATGGCTGTGAGTGAGACTTGGCCATTGAGGGTGGAAGATATGAAAAGCCTGGCTAGGCTGTCTTTGATCATAGGTGTCTGCGTTCTATCTCCCGTGTGAAGTGGTATAATAAGGTGAGCAATATTGAGCTGAGGCCTCGGTTGAGTGCTAGGTAAGGAGGGGAAATCAATCGACGAAACTGTGAAATTACATCGACTGAGGTGGTTAGGACATGTGCTACGTATGCCTAGTCATCGCCTTCCTCGACGGGCAATGTTAGCTGATATAGGGTCAGGCTGGAAAAGAGCTAGCGGCGGTCAAACCAAAACATGGCACCAGTCAATGAAATCCACAACAGTTAGTCTAAGCCACGTAGAAAGGTGTAGACTTCCTGACTGGTTGGGGTCTTCGAGACAGTAAAAACCAATGGTTGGAAACAATTGGTGACATGGCTCAAAATCGTTCTCAATGGCTGGCGCAGATGCATCCACTCCTTGTGACTTATGATTTCCAATGAAACTGTTTTGTTCTTCGTTATTACTATTCCTTTGTCTCACACCTCTGTTTACTGTCTCTAATATGCATTTCTTCTACTTTCTTCTCTTGCTTTGTGTGCTACAAGGGGGTAGTGTGGTGACTTGAGCTGTCGCACATATGTGCAAAGTTCTATGTCGAAAACCGACCGACCAACCGACAATGAACGACGAACATGCTTCAATTTCTCTCACTATCGTTTTTCTCCTTCTGAAAGTACCATGAAATAATGAATGTTGAATGAACTTGACAGTTATGCTCGCTTGCTTTCCAGATAGTGGCCCTGATTCATTCTCTTCCTATCTCTTAATGCCAATAATGTACAGAAATTTCGCGTTTTACATACATTATGATAAAAGGATAATTCACACTTACCATGGGTAGAACACAATTGCGAGCTAAAGTCATTGTAAATGAAACTGTATTGACTGGATGAAAATCTAATATCCGTGGATACATTTCCAATGGTGAAAGTGTCTAAAATCAAATAATTAATTATTTTATTAAATTATTAAATTAAATTTTATTATAGCTTGACTTCACACAGTAGTTTTGATACAAGTATGGAATTTTCAGCATGTGATATTATCGGTAGCCCAAGTCAAGCATTAAATACCTTGGATTAGTTCTTTCCTCTGATCTTTCATGGTCATCCCACATCTTATTGATCTCTAAGAAAATGTTTCGTCTTACCTTCTACATTAAAAAGTTAAGACAATCAGGTATCAACCAACCTTTAGTTCTGCAATTTTTAAACTCCTGTATTTTACCTATTGTACTCTATTGTTCTCCATTAATCTTTCCTGGGCTTCTTAAAAAAGACTATGCCGTATTACGAAGGGTATTAAATACTGTGAGTAGGGCTTATGGTTTGCCACTGCGTGAGCTCGCTAATACTATAGTCGAGAGACACGTAAATTCCTGTAAAAAGTGGGCAAAGGCCGTACTGTCAGACCCTCTTTATTCACAACTATCCCCTTGTATCTCATCAGGTAGGGACGAGAAGTCAATATAAGAAGTTATATGCTCGTACCACTAAGTACAAAAATTCTACAATACCGTATTTAGCCCGTATTTTATGTGATGAAGACTCTGTTAGACGTGAAACATATAAGTTACTATGTAATTAGCATAGTGAATCGACCCTTTCATTGTTCATCTTTCTGTAATTCTATGGTGTCACCCTTTCTATCGTTTAATTATAACTTAGCTATTTTTATTTTAGTTTTTATCACCATAATTTTATACTTTATGCGTATTTTTCTCCGTACTGCTTACAGTAATTTGCTAAATATCTGCTATAAAAACGTTTTGTTATCATTATTATGTAATGATTATTTATTTTTTTGTTGTTGTCGTTTTTGAGTAAATTAGATGCAATATTGTACTGAATGCTGAAAATTCCTTGCTGTATCATTAGTACTGTTTTTGGAATAAAGCAAATTATTATTATTTATCAGGCCGACTATTGATATCGGGTTTGCGTTGGCCGGGGATCGAACCGCGGACGATGTACATGGTCAGTAACCACCAATTTTATACTTTAAAACTAATAAGCTAATAACGAAATATAAAAATATTATGGAACATAATACACTGGTGGTAAGTGTTAGAAAAAAAGATGTATGGACACACCCTTCAGAGAACTCATGTCCCCGACTATGTAGGATTCGAATCCACCTGATTCAGTGTTGCAGACTGCCTCAAAACCATTAAAAACATCAATACGCAGTGCACCTAGCTGTTTGATGACCATATTGTTGACTTGACTGATTATAATGATAACAAAATATTGATAATAAGGTTTATGCAGGTGGCGATAAGAATAACAAAGGTAGTAATATGTGTATATGTAGACAATTCAATAAATAAATAAATTAGGTCAAATCTTAAAAGTTACGTAATACTAAAGGTAGGTGAAGTGGACAGATAATCAGAGTTTAAATAAATATCATAAAAGTACGAAGGAGATGGAAAATAAGGAAGGGTGGGAGGGTTTTGATTAGAATTCACCTAGGCCAGGCAAGGGAGAGACAAAGGTAGAACAAACTTCTTTTGTATGCAAAGACTAGGATTGTTCTCTCGAATTAATTCTCATAGCTTCGGCTATGTGTAAAAGACGGGTTCGAATTCCGTTCGAAAGGCTCGATGGAATGCTATAGATAACTTTGAAGGCGGCACTATTTTTGTCCACTTGGTGACCGCTATCAATCAAATGAGCCAAAACAGAAATTCGTATAGATTTTATTTGACCTTTTCCGAAGCATGAAGGAAGATGCTCATTAATGCGTTTGTTAAGCTGTCTAGTTGTTCGTCCTACATAGCTCTCTCCCCAGGAGCAACTAAATTCATAGATACACAAAGAAGTGGCACAGTTAGGTAGCTTGTCCTAGTAGATTTGTAAGGAGACACATGAACACCAAGTACAATAAAGAGAAACAGACAACAGTCAGAAAGAAACAACTGTCCATGAAATTGCAATTTAATGGGGACGTGGCTAGCAAAGTTTTACATCTGAGATTATCGAAAGCGATAAAACGGACTTGTACTGCCGCCACCCTTTGTTTGTCATTTTCCAACCGACCAATTATGATTGCTCAAATGAAAGACAAGCTACCTAACTGTGCCATTTCTATGTGTATCTATAAATTTTGTTGCTCCTATGGAGAGAGCTATATAGGGCGAACACCTAGACAGCTTAACAAACGCATTAATGAGCATCTCCCTTCATTCATGGTTCATAAAAGGTCAAATAAAATCTTTAGGAAGTTCTATTTTGGCTCATTCGATTGATAGAGGTCACCAAGTGGACAAGAGTAGTGCCTTCAAAGTTATCTATAGCATTCCATCGAGCCTTTCGAACGGAATTCGAACCCGTCTTTTACACCTAGCCGAAGCTATGGGAATTAATTCGAGAGAACAATCCTAGTCTTTGCATACAGAAGAAGTTTGTTCTACCTTTGTCTCTCCCTTGCCTGGCCTAGGTGAATTCTATTCAAAACCCTCCCACCCTTTCTTATTTTCCATCTCCTTCGTATTTTTATGATATTTATTTAAACTCTGATTATCTGTCCACTTCACCTACCTTTAGTATTACGTAACTTTTAAGATTTGACCTTTGTTATTCTTATCGCCACCTGGATAAACCTTATTATCAATATTTTGTTATCATTACAATCATCGTTATTAACTACGTTCAAAACATTTACCACATTATTATTATATCATGTAAAAATGAGAATATACTGTTATTATTATTATTGTTTGATCCACAAAATCACCGTCATTGGTTAAAAAATTTTTATATATAAATCTACGTAAATTAGAGTAAAGCCTGAAGATCTAATATTGTTCGCTTATATGTCTTGTTCTAATATTGAAAATGGGAATATTTAAAAACTCGACTGATAACATAATTCAGTCGCCACAAAGAAACAACCAAGGGATAAGATACATGAAATTGGTCACCTCCTAGTGTTGTAACGACAGAAGACAAGGGCCAGGCAACGGAACCTTTATTGAGAAAATCAACAGGTATTTATAAATTTTTATGTGCATTATTATTATTCGTTATTGTTAGCATTACTAAAGGAAATAATAATAAATTGTTAGCAGAGAAGCAACCTCTTCTGATTGGCTCCTTATTCTGTTATCTTTTTGTGGCCGTTTCTCAGAAAGTTAAGCCATCTATCTGCGAATCATATTTCCACACTTTAACTCCACTGTGATTGGCTGGTGAGTTTCTCAAGGTTAAGCTTTGTTACTGACCCTGATTCGGCGCGTGAACATTGACGTAAATAGTTGCCTACATCTTTTAGCTTGCAGATAGCTCTCACCACTGTGTGACTAATATACAATGTACAATCATACTATAGTAGACAGCCGTCTATGTAACGAAGTGAACCACTAAAATGAAAATTAGTGTAAGGTTTTCCAGAATTTGGAAAATGATGAAGACCTCTAGACATGTCACATCAAAAGACTGTGAGTATGGATCGTTACGTGTGCAAAGACTCCAGTCAAAGTCAATGACTCCACGGGAGTGACACTTCCGTTACCAACTATCGATAATCCTTAGAAATAGTTTACACATGATTATATTATTCAGAAGAATTTATCATTGATATAAGAATAATACTTGGGCACTGTGGTGGTAGAGTTATTAAGTTTTATTTTGATAAATCACACAGTGGAGTGTTATACAGCAATATTTACTGATGACGACGTTTCGAGCACAAATTATTGCTACTCATAATCATATCAAGGTACTCACTCACACAACTTTCTTGCTTCATTTATATACATGAATGAAATTGATGATTAGACATTTGAATTTAATCAATATAAGATAAAGTACATTCAAAAATAGTATTAGTGTTATCAATAAAATACAATAAGATGGGAAATAAGACGAGTGTTTTTATAGTCAAAATAAATAAGTAACTAGTTAGAATGTTATAATGTATGTGAATTGAAATAGAACTTTAAGATAAAGGTATAAAACTTTGGCACTGTGGTAGAGCATAACTCCATTGTGGATAAGATTTTATTTTGATAAATCACACAGTGTTGTACAGTAATGTTAACTGATGACCACGTTTCGAGCATAAACTATTACTGCTTATAATCATATCAATTTGATATGAGAATTTCAAGATTATTTATTATCCTCCTGTGATTTGACTTTCTGGTGGTAATAATATCTCCCATATTTCTGGTATATGCATTGAGTCATTTCTGGTGCATGTGTCGTGTGTGTAGACTTGATGCTCCAGGATTCAGCAATCAATCTCTCTCTCTCCACCTACCTACATTACTTTTTAGAATTTTGACTCTGCCCTACCCTGTTGGGCCACTGTGTGTATGTTAATGCATCCAGTGCAGCGCTATCGCTGAGCTCTTTTCTAAATTACTCATCTGCCTTTGCGGGGTCAATCATTCTAATCTTGGCTAAATTCTTATGTTCTGATAATCTCACTACTCCTGATCTTCCAGTCATTGCAAGGTATTTTTTAAATCATATTATTTTGTTTAATTGGATTCACGAGGTTCTTTAGCCTACAAAGCTTGTCCTGCCTGAGCGAGTTTGTAGGTTTGAATGCCACCCTAATTCCTGCTTTATTGAGAATCCTACGTAGGGTCTCAGATGTCCCCCCTTCATATGCTATCACAGTAGATGCCTTATATTCTTTCATATTTACGTTATCACCATTATTATCATTATTACTATCTCCACAGATTCCGAGTGAAATAAAGGACTTTCAGGACTACGTCTTCATTTCGTTGTGTTCTCTACAGTCCTCTTTATTTGGATCCATGATTGCCCATAGGCACTCATTTCCCACTCACAGACTACCTCGTTCATATCACCCTCGAACCCACACCTAACTCCTCATTTCTCATTCGGATTACACTTGCGTGGTGTTAACCGACGGTCTCCTCAGCATGTGTCCGATCCTTCCCCATTTTTGTCAGTA